ACTGCATGAATGCTCCTAGAGCCATTCATGAATCACAGAGACAGATACCAACCAAATCCCTCCCCGGTCACAGTAATATAATTCAAGACTACGCTGAAATCATGTCTGACAAAAACAGAAGTAGGGGAACTAGAAATTAGTGAATCAAAATCAGCATATTGGAAGTTAGGCCAAATTGGTGGGCAAAATAATGAGGGGCTGGGCTAGTTCTTCCACCATTTCCTTCATGGGTCCTTAAGGAAAGAGACGGGGAAGTCTACAGAACAGATGGAGGGTACTAGAGTGAGCCTGGGACCCTGGATCATCTTCTTCCTAGTCCTAAGAGCTAGCATGACTAGTTCCAGCTGATGTCGGTCACCAAAAGCAATGACACAGGGGCAGACTTAGTTCCAATAACATTTCAACTAATTTACTTTCCCCCAAAGGTTATTTACTGCTATTTTTGAAACCATTTAAGGAACTGCCAAACAAGGGACTTCTCTTTTTAAAAACTCTCCAGCTGAAGGTAAAGGGAGCAAGAAATGTTAAAATGAAAACCTTCCTTTAATGTGTTCCATTTCAAATGCTTTATCTGTTTTTCTCTTTCCTGTGTCTTTAATAAACATTTTAAAAGATTTGTGATGGTGTATTTGACATGGTACAAAGCAGGCTTAGGTCTCTGCATACCAAACCCCAGTCCTTGTTTAACATAGTTTAGTTTTATTATGTTAATGTCCATGCTTATTTATTCCATATAAGCTAGCAGCCATTCACTCCAGCATAAAGAGGTGCAATGTGCTATCTCCTCTGTACTTCGTTCTAGCTTCTTTTCTCATTTAGCCATGACATTTGTGAGAATATTTTTAAAAAGCAGCTTCTTCCTCCTCCACTCTCCCTAACGCCAGCTCCATCCTAGAAAGGCTCTCCTGCATACCTGCCCTGTAGCTACAAACCCTCCTACAAGAGACAGCAAAACACTGGCTTTTTGACAGCAGAGCAGATAGCTCATTTGGCTTGGTGAACCACTGTGTCAGGAAATGCACTTTTAGGGTCATATAACTGTATATGCACTAGGAAGATCCCCAAGGCTATGTATGCACTACAGCATATCTTCTTCCTACATATTTTACATAAAAGCTGTGACAATTCTTCCCCCATGCCTTATGAAGTTTGGCTTATGAATATAAATATGCATAACTTGAAGATGCTTTAAACAAAATACCGCATTTTGGTATGTAAAATTAGAAGCATGAAGTATGAGAAAGTTTATAGTTTAAAATGTACTAATAAGAGCAATTATTGGTGCTCTGGAAGCCTTAATGACTTGGTGATCAACTTAACAATTTGTAAACAGCTTTGTTTGTCCTGTAAGGTGATTGAACTAGTCAGACATGTGACAGGCTTTCATCAAAATAGATCTTGTTTAGATCAGATAGCCACATTGCGCATAATTATTGAACAATGTTTAGAATGGAATGTTTCTTTGTATATCAACTTTGTGGACTATGAAAAAGCATTCGACAGCTTGGATAGGGAAACGTGGAAATTATTACAGCACTATGGGATCCCTCAGAAACCATAAATCTCATAAAAAAGACCTATGAAGATATGAGCTGTAGGGTCTTGCATGAGGGTCAACTTACAGAACCCTTCAGAATAAAGTCAGGTGTTTGGCAAAGTTGTCTGCTGTCCCCCTTCCTCTTTCTTTTGGCTGTTGATTGGATCATGAGAGTAACAACAGCTAACGAGAGGAATGGAATCCAGTAGACCCTGACCCTGTTTAAACAGCTAGAAGACCTTGATTTTGCAGATGACCTAGCTTTTCTGTCACATAATCAACTTCAAATGCAAAATAAAACAGTGAGGCTGGACAAGATTTCACAGCAGATGGGACTGAAGATCCATGAGGGGAAGACCAAGATCATGAAAGTGAATGCAGCAAATAACAGCAGCCCAATTGTCCTGAGAGGAATGACACTGGAGGAAGTTGATACCTTCACCTATTTAGGTAGTATTGTAAAAAAAGTGGGAGGTACTGATGAAGATATTAAGACCAGAATACAGAAAGCAAGAGGTTATTTTATTATTCTGAGGAACATATGGAATTCAAGAGAGATCTACAGACCAAAATAAGGATCTTCAGCTCAAATGTAAAATCAGCTATATGGCTCAGAATCATGGCAAACAACAAGGACAAACATCAAAAGATTGTAAACTTTTATTAATAAATGTTTGGTACGATCATTGGCCAGAAGTGGTCTGACAAGGTTACAAACATTAGCTTATGGGAAAGAGCAGGGCAATGCCCAGTAGAGCAACAGATACTGAGAAGATGGCAATGGATTGGCCATATACTGAGGAAGCCATCAACTAGCATTACCAGACAATCCCTATCCTGGAACACACAGTGGAAAAAGGGAAGAGGAAGGCCAAAGAATAGTTGGAGAAAAGACCTGGATGTGAATATGAGGAAAACAGGCAAAAGCTGGAGATAATTAGAAAAGCTGGCACAAGACAGAGAGGCTTGGAAATAAATTGTTGATGGCATATGCTCCCATAGGAGCTAAGGGCAAAGGAGGCTCTTAATACATTTTAAAAGCAGAGGTGCAGCACTGCTTCCGGAGGCTCTTAATACATTTTAAAAGCAGAGGTGCAGCATCTGGGACTGGGCGCGAGCCGGGAATCCACTGATTCCCATCTCACACCTGGTCCCCAGTACCCTCCTGCCTCCCCCGGAAACAATGCTGGGGGGAACTTGCTTTTAAGCCAGCTCCCCTCAGTACCAGTTCCTGCTCCTCCCCCTTGTGCTTCTGATAGAGGGAGCAAGGGCGGAGGGAAGCAACTAGTCGACTAATTGCTTACATGCCTATTGTGAGCATACCATATGCTTTCTCTCTAGCAGAATCCTGGAGGAAGGAAGTAGCTGATGTATCCCAAGGAGTGGTTCAAGATCAATTTACAAAAGGGGGTAGCCGCTAATTCCAACTGGCTAATCCAGAATTTGAAGACCGTGAGGTATGCATAAATAGTTGAACAGATGTAGCTGCATAATGTGTTGAATGTTTTATGATATATTGATTCAAATCCAAAACTAGTGAAACCTCAAATTATATTTTAAATCTTCATAAGTAACTTTAATCTTAAATATGATTTTGTTCCTGTGTGGATGAGATCAGGATGCTGATTCTTTATGGGACTTTATAGTAGTATTAGTTAGGACGCGCTAATTGAGGGATAAAAGTTTTCAGCAGCAGGCCATACTGCCTTCCCACCGATAAGAACCTTTGCCATTCCCAAGACTGTGCTCCCCATTTCCGCTGGATGGATCGCTAGATGATTCCCCACTCTGTTCATTCCCCGATGAACAGGGCTCGCGAGTAGATTTCGCCGCCGTCTGTCAAGCCCCGCTGATGCACTTAGCATTGGTCGCTGCTGGATGACAGGACAACGGGCTGGATGGATCTTTGGTCTGACCCAATATGGCCGTTCCTATGTTCGTATGCTTTTGGACCCAGGTGGTTACCTATGCACGGGAGAGGCCAGGACAAGATTCCCCTTCAGGGGATGAGACTATTTAATTAAGCAAGGGGAAGTTATCAGCCCTGACCCACCCCCACTCAGGGCTGGACCCAGGCCAGAGGAAAAGATTGTCTTGGACTTGAGGAGTAGACCCAGAATAACTGGGTAAGAAGCTACTTGCCTATTTTTTTTAGTGAGCGCTCAGTTCCTCCCCCTCACGCCAATCACCGCTGCTCCTGCTCCCGCCCCCCCCATTTAATTAAGCAAGGGGAAGTTATCAGCCCTGACCCACCCCCACTCAGGGCTGGACCCAGGCCAGAGGAAAAGATTGTCTTGGACTTGAGGAGTAGACCCAGAATAACTGGGTAAGAAGCTACTTGCCTATTTTTTTTAGTGAGCGCTCAGTTCCTCCCCCTCACGCCAATCACCGCTGCTCCTGCTCCCGCCCCCCCC